TTAATAATTTTAAATTATATAAGATGCATAAGAAACAAATGTATTTACATGTAGGTTCAATCTGTATCTGAAATTATTCATCGTGATGGGCATAAACTGGTCCATGGAAATAATATCATGGCTATTCAAGAGCGCGCCGCCATATATTTGGTATCTCACCGATCTGACAAATACCCTGCAAGGTCTCATTATCTTCATTATATTCGTATGGAAGAAGAAAATCAAGAGGTTGCTGTTAAAGCGTTTCGGTTATCAGGCTCGCGATTTCTTCTCCAGAAATTCAACACGCAGTGGCAATCACAGTTCAGCTTCGCGTACCTGCACTACTACATCAGGCATAATGTCTCTACAGGAGAAGGTCAATCCTTATGTGCAAACAAATTGCCGCGCGAAAAGTTCATCCGATGAGGTTGATTCTTGAATGTTGCAATGTAAGAGAAAGATTGCACTATGTGAAATAGAAATTGATGATTATAATGACCAGTTAGGTGGTGCCGTAATTTAATTCTCTATTCGAGAATTAATTTTACATTGCTTGCGTTGATCTCTTTTATTAAGAACATCGAAATTAGTATTTTTCATCTCTCTTTTTTTATTTCTTTAAAATGTACTTACAAGTTTTTTTATCTCTTACAATCCAAAGATGATTAAAGAAATTAATTAACTTAGGTAGAAAGGTATCGTCTACTTGACGTAATTAATCATTCTCGACAAATCTGATGTCCTATCATTGTAAGAAAAACGCAAATTTGTTACAGCCATATAACGTACAAATCAACATCAAAAATACATTATTTTTATGCTATTAATGGCATAAATGAATGATTATTAATTGATCATTATAACGTTATATCATCGATTAGTCATTTATCTAATGTTAGTAAATATGACGTTGTAAATACGTCATAGAATGACGTCAATGTGTAATTTAAAATGACTAACTATGACGTCAAAATAATTACCTGCTACCTGGGAAATTATTTTGCATCTATTGTCGTCCTCATTAAAATGATAAAAGTATTATTGTGTATCATATACATTGACTGCCGTATGCCATAATGTTGTATAAATTTTATTTTAATATATAAGAGTTTATTATTATTATACATCATTGATAACATTTTGATAAAAAGGCTACGGATAATTTTACTAATTTTAACTTCAATTCGTAATACATTATTCGCACAACTATCTTTTACATTCTCTTTTTTAAATATTTATTTTTATTATATTGACACTTGGTCTTCATTTCCTTACGTATAAGTGTTTAATATTATTAAAGGAATTCAAGAAAAAAGATATATAAAAAATATGTATTTTTAAACAAGTAGTTTATATGGAGATTAAATGACATTTAAGATATTTTATATTCGTGGAACAAAAGTAAAATTAAATACCGACCAATGTCAAATCATCCGTACATTTTATCATATGCATATACATTTTATCATATGTGATAGTAATACATATGTACCTTGAAAATCCTTGCACTGAGATAGACTTTAAATCGAGTATCCCCATAATAATAATAAATTTAATTTAATTATTCCATTGATTTAGTATGAAATATATTTGTCAATAGATTTTTGGAATTGCATTTCATTTGTCGCATTAGATAATACAATATAGCTCTTCACCGCTTACGGTCACAGAATATTTCTGTACAAGTGCCATCATAATCATTCGTACAAGTGCCATCATAATCATTCGTACAAGTGCCATCATAATCATTCGTTTAATGTTTAATAGTTGTGTATTTGCATTTAATATGCACCTATAAGAAAAAATATAGAAAATCAAATGGACACAATTACGAGGAAAGTAAAAGCACAGTGTTCACGCAAAACAAAGTCTGCAATTATTAGATAATAAAAGCTTAATCTGTATTCTTTACTATTACATGTGTTTGTAATCGTCTATGTATACGATAATTAGACGAGAAAAGTAAAAAATAAAGAACATTACAACACGTACTCTCATACTACTTGTACACATCCTGCACTTCTTTCAATTACTGTCAGTCAAAATCTTAAGGAGTTTATTTTACGCAAACATATCTTCTCGATCAGCTCCAACACCGTCACCATCTTCCAAGCTTGAAAAATTGAGAAAATGGGCCGGCCTGTGCACCTCATGATAAAATTCCTTTGGATTCGCTAGTTGTAACTCATATTTCATGTTGGGATCGTGTCTCACGCCCATGAAATTGTAATTCCACGAGCCTTGACTAGGCACCATAAAGAAGCCAAGGAAACGATCAGACAAAAGCATCTGTACCTTCTCATAATGACTAGGTAGATAACCTTTCGGATTGTTGCCCTTATCAGTATTTTGCTTGCCCCATTCGAAACCACTCGGAGTTAGTTTGTACGCTGTGAGAGAGCAAGAACCAGGCGTGAAACTGCAAGTGATAACTATGGTCTTCTCGCCGTCCCAAATGGAATTCTCCGCCATAATCCGAGCGTGAGTGGATATGTCCTGTGGCGAGAGTTGTGGCAGCTCATTTGGCTGCGTGTGTATCCATCCTAGTGGCTCCATCTCTTTTAAATATTGATGATTAGGTAGTGTATTTGGTAAATGAACGGTCTGATGAGTTCCCCATTGCGGTGCCATTACAATACATCTGATTTCTTTTACCTGTCACACATAGAACATGAGATTAGTAGATTATACAGCTAAAATTGATTTAAATTTTAATATATAAAATAAAAAATTTTTAAATGTTAAATGTAATATAAAATAAAAAGAAAAAATTGTTATACATATATTAAAAAATATTTTAAATATAGATGAAATGATTTAATAATTACCTGAGGATTGTCAGGTGGACTGATGCCATACAAATAACCAGCTATCTGCGCTCGCAAATCAGAAATGGTAACAAATTTCTTTAATACATTTTTAGGTAAGATGTAAGTATAACCAGTCTCTTTGATATCATCGGATGAAACATAGATGTGATTTGTTCTGAGATGGAGATTAGTTGCAGAGATAGCACGTACTCGCCACTCAGTCTTAGAGCTGAAAGTCTGCGTCTCATAATTGGACGTAGTCGCAGTAATAATCTCATCACCGTGTTTGTTTACTGTTCGCGTGGTGGTAGCGGTTAATTGGCTCTGTTCCTTAGTCTGCTTTTCAATCTCGGCAATTTGTTGCCGTTGCGCAGATGGAGCACTTATTTCCATACCCAAAATGATATCGCGAATCTCGGATTGCGTGAGCGATGCAACATTGACATTGTTCTTCTTGCCATAGTCTGCTAGAATCAGATCCTTTAATTGTACTTCTACTTTAATCCATTCGTCGTCCGTCAGTGATGGCCATATATGATGTGGCTCAGTGATGGTAGTCTTGTCGGGTTTGAGGACAACTTTGGTTCTCTCAGTGTTAACATGCAGAGCGCGTAAGATCAGAATCAGTCGTGAGAACGCAGTATAAGATGAGATTGTCTTCAACCAGTCGTCATAAAGATTGAATAGTACCATCTGTGGCTCGGTTGCCTTTAAAATCAAATCACCAAACTTCTCGACTTTGAGACATGCCTGGAATGGTAATTGTAACTCGGATCCTTTGATAACTATGTTGGGAAAATCCAACAAGTGCACTTCCAGTGGATCTAACATTCCCTTTCTGGTGACGATAATCTGTTTTGGTTGTTCCTCTACTGGTAGAGAACGAATCAGCGCAGCAACTTCTTCAGCAGTCTTCCATTTGGCCAATTGACCCAGACGCTTTTGGCCCGCCCAAACGGAAGTGTGAATAATTTTCAAAAAGAGTTGTCCCGTGCGTGGATTGAAGATGAAAATTGCACCATTTATCGGTTTTGTTGTTAAATTGCCTTCAAAAGTTTTGTGGATAGTTACGCGATACACGTTCGTGTCGTCAACGAACCATATGATCTGATTGGAGAAGAGTTCGCCATAATTTTGCGAGGAGAGATAAGGCTCCGTCGGTTCGGACGAGTATAACTGCAATGCCTTGCGAATACGTTCACGTAACACATACAAGGCTGGATTTGCTTTCATGATCTTTGCCATGGCTTGCTGTATAAGTGGTTTGCAACCAGGGAACCAATTACCGTAAGCGCTATGTAAATTATATGCTAAATCGATGGCTATGAGAAGACCAGTGGGTGATGGATAGATGGACATGTTATCCGTAGTATAATCAAGGAATTTCGCACGAGCATATCGCTCGATGTCATGTGAGTCATAGTCGCCCCATCTCAATTGAACATCGATCCAATACTTTTGCGTGGTCGTGTTATCCATCACATCTTTGGAGTCAGCAAGAAGAGATGGTCGAGACACGTTCCACTTATAGGCGGAGAATAGTAGAATGTCGGCACATGAGGAGTTCATTTTGTAAGACTTTCGCGGATGTATCGTCTCCTTCTGCACAGTTTCAATTTCTAGTGCATCCAATTCTTGATCGAAAACCTGGCAAAGATCCATCACAATGGATTCGTGTACCTTTTGCCACAAATGAGCGCGGAATATCTGGATCAACGAGATTTTTAAGGTTGGTATTTTTCCGTGCATGAATATCCCTGTCAGATCAAGCTGCACTTGGAAACCGACGTAAACGTTGGCGCGATTAATAGTGGGTGACCACCATAGAGTGAATCGACGATTGGGAATCTGGTTGAGACCGGAACGTTGAGCATTTGTCAATTTCTTGTATTTCATGGATTCTTCGAAACCAGATGCTTTCTCCCAAAACAGACCCTCCCACGTCGGGAAGTAAGTTCCCTTAAAGAGAGTATGTTCCAAGATGCCCTCGACACCACCGAGCGCTTGAATCATGTCAGTTCGGTAGTTGTTCAAATTCCATAGTTTGCCATCATGACGTTGATGAGTCCACCAAAACGGATTCTGTTTCAACACTTGATATTGTTTGAATTCAGTGCGAATGCGCCAGCCCTTGTCATAGGCCAGCGTGTGTCGGTCCTTCTGAAATAGCGTATTTATTCTGGGAATACCGCGATCCCAGCTATCCTCGAGATCTTCTAGAGTGAGTCTGCGATTCTGAGCGTTGGCCTCTTGCCGTTTCAGGGCGTACTCTGCCCAAACGCGTTGAGAATCGATAAATTCTGATTCCCATGGCTGTATATAACGATACAAGTTCGGAATCAGTTGATCTTCGTCGTGGCTCATACCCGAACGGAAGTGAGTGATGCCCACGTCGGTTTGCTTCGACCATCTCAAGTCTGATTGCGGTATTAATACATGACCCATCGATAACATTCCCAGACCTCCCAATTCTTTGGGCGTGTAAAAGACGACAGGTGGAAAACGCGATGGCATTTTGGAATTCAGTCCGATTTTAATACGTGTCTGAATCTTATTTTCACACTTGACTAGCAGATCCAATAATTCTTGTGTGTTCACCACTGCCTCTCTGAAATAAGTCATTAAACCGATTAATGCAGTATTCCACTTATTTACGATCTTCGTGAAAGTAGTTGAACCCGAGGCCATCAAGATTTGTCTGACACGATTATGGAAACGCTGCAAACTCTCATCATCAACACGTAGGAAGCATTGCGCTGTTCTCTCTTTTGTGATTTCATTCTGAAGATTCCAGACGCCATCCCGATGTGTAAATTCCTCGTGAGTTGTTCTACATTTGGGTAGAATCCTGCATTCAAAACCACTCATGTTGAACAATAAATTGGGATTATCTTTACTATAGACGCTGACAAAGCTATTCTCCCATTGAATGGTAGTGGTGGAACGTGGTAGTCGGTTTTTAATGTCCCAGAAAACGGCGCGACCTAGGTTCACGTCGTGCTTCATCAGCCTCATACGAGCGTCTCGCGGCCAACATTTCTTATTGTTGTAGCCAACAATGTTCTCATTATTTGGATCAGGATGCTCAGTAAGATAACGCTGAATAAGATCTCTCGCTTCGTCAGCAGAGAAGCGCAGGAATAGATGTATTCTATCGACATAGCGACAGTACAATCGAATAGGATGCGCCGTTTCAGAGGCGACATCCTGAAACGTCAAGAAGTCGTTTGGCATTTGCGGCGGGCCAGCCATCTCGCTAGCTCGTTGGAGACCTAACACGAGCAGATCCAATACCAGTCCATAGTACTGAGCAATAAAAGATGCAAATTGCAATCCCCTGATAATACCGTAACTGTTAGTGTGATTCATATCCTTGTAATTGATGACTACGTTATTCTTCGCCGTCATGTAATCGGCAATATTGTGATCGACTATTAGACGCAACAGTCTGTTAAGCAGTGTGAGATCGATCTTTTCGTACAGTTTCTCAAACTTCGATTCGAGCAATACATTGCACTCACCCTCACTGACATCCCACACGTCCTGTAGATTGTTGATACCTTGGCACCACTTGTAAACAAGGAGTGGTGGAGGTTCCGTGTCGGCTGGTTTCACCCAGGGTGGGAATAGTCGTCTTTTGTCCGCCTCATACCACAAGTATTGATCGAGGTAAGCATCTGTGATCTTTTCGAGCGGCTCTACATCATACACAGGAATCAAATGACTATAAAGATCCATGAATTCAATGCCGACTTCCTTGAAGGCTCTTTGCGTAAGCAAATGTCTTTTAATTCTAGATAGTGCCTCGTGTGGATTGTCATATGCTTGCTCTATCAATCCTAATTCTTCTCGTTGACTTTGATTTAATCTAGATTTAACACTATACGCTTCTTTCAAGCGTTCCAGAGCCAATATCAGTAGCTTTGTGTCGTGTTTGTACGATAATGGTGGGAAAGGGATCGGAGCGAATCTTCGAGACTCCAGCCAATGCACCGAAGTAGTAAAGATTGCTACGGCTTCTTCCGGGGATATATACGGACCGTCTTTCAAGTAATTATGCTGTCGTTCTTGCTCAGCTTTCAAATAGAGACGCGTCAAACGACCAAGATTCTTCTTGCATACGGTTTTATCCACTGTAGCACCGCGTCGAATTCTCTCTCGATTGTAATGAGCCGTATTCGTCCACCAATCGGCTTTCATTTTTACGTAACGCAATATCATATTCTCGATTGGAATTGGTAAACCTGGCACTTTCCATGGAATATTCGCCTTCCAACAACGCCAGGCCTCACTTAGATGTTGAAGGATAGTCCGTGCTTTGTTCTGTTTTATTCCTTCAGGCATCATATCTACTATGTCATGCATTACAGATGCTCGTAATTCAAGATCGAAGTGCGACTCAACTCGTTGCTTCGTCACTGTTTTCGCCACACCCTTCGAATGACGACCTTCAAATTGTCTTGACAGTAAATTACCCAGCCATCTTTCTAATAATGGAGTGATACCTCTCATGAAGAACAACCAGACACGCCAGCCAGGTGCCCAGAATCCACAGCCAGGTCCTTTACCGACTGGTCCGGTATTGAAACGATAATAGATTAGATGTTTCAAATCTTTGCACATCCTAATCTGTCGCATTAATTTGTATTTGTATCGATACATGCCAGTCAATTGACCAACATGTGCAAAGATATATTGTAATCCATCAGCAAGTTGAAAGGCATCCACATTGTTTAATCGATACTGAACGTGAGAATCGATAATGAGCTTAGTCAAACGAAGGATTTCACGACACAGATGAAAAGCGTTACCAAAACGTGATTTTTTTCTCTCTTTCGTCGTGAGCGTCTTGACAGGTTTCAGATTGAAATTGTAATCCAAGTGAAGATAGTTGAGATTCTTTCGGTGTATCAATAGATTCAACATGTTATATCCTTGCCGACACACTTGCAGACCGGCTTCCACCCAGTCTATCGTCGTTGTCTGGAAGAACTTGGTAGACTTAAATGAACGGAATAAATAGCGTTTTTTTTGCGGTTTCGGTGGCCTGTGCTTCAGAGCGTTCAACACAAAATATTTTAACAGTTTTTGATAACTGACTCGCACTTTTACAGGTTGTCCAGGTGGACAATGTTCTCTGTACCATGACTTGACTAATGGAATGTCAATAGCTCTTCTTGTTCTACCAGAACGTGTGTTAAATGGTCTTGGTGCCCACAGAAGTGCTATTCCATTTGCTGTGTTGTCGGTATAAAGAGGTGTTTCCTGAAGAAATGGTTGTACCTCACCAGGTAAAACAAAGTCTTCATCGTCTTCAATTTGTGGTTCCATCGTCTGCAATGAATTAAATGTAAATGCATAAATTAATTAATGTAATTTATTTAATTTGAAAGTTAAAATTTTACCTTTAGTGAATTTCTGTGAGAAATTGGATTGATTAAGGGATCGAAATAGAATGCAGGCAAATCTGGATCTTCGGTCTTTATGTACACAACATTTGGTGCATGATACCTGTAAATTATATATTAATTATTAATAGAGATGCATAACATCATGTAAAAGTATATATATATATATATATATATATATATATATATTTTATTTGAAAAAATTATGTAAACTTGTAAGTGATGTCAGCAGTTCCTTTTTATAATTTTCATAAAAGAGACGAATAACAATCACTAGATTTCCTTTACCACATTGCTAGTAAGACCTTTATACACTAATACGAAGATCTCAAAACTAATGTGGAACACAGAAAAGAAACAACAAAAAATCCAAAAAAACAGTTTAAATAAAAAAAGTTTTTTTAAATCTTAATAATATTTATAAAAGAAATTTAAAAAATTTGTACTACTATAACTCACCATGAAAGATGCACGAAATGAGGCATGTTATTGTACAAGTAAGGAAACGCAATCCTGTATTCAGTTCTGATAGGCTGCCTGATAATGATCTTATTTATGTCATTAAATTCGTTCCAATCTTCATCAGCAGCATTTGAATCTTTCACTAATGGTTCAAATTTCGGTCCTCCAGGGATAGCCATGTTTAGGGCTTTTGCAGTGAAGAATGATTTGGGGTCAAATAGATAAAAAAAATTTTGATCTACCAAGTCGGTTAACAATTGATTAGCCAAACGATACAGAGTGGCCATTTGTGGTAACGCTAGGTTCCATCTCCGATATGTAGATCCATTAACATATCTGTAATATATTTTATCATTCAGATTCTATATTATGTATAGAATACAAAATTTTATTCTTAGAGCGTAAATATATCTTTTCAGAATAGCATTTTCTCCAACTGGATAGTCTGTACATCATGAATTTGAATGAATGATATACAGTACCCAGTTGTCAACTCACATGTCCAGTTGATTTCAGGACCCCTACGCTTTTCATCATTAGCAAACCAAATATAAGAATCAAATATAAAGGTCAAAACAAATATAAGAATAAAATTTTGTTCTCTCTCAATGTGCGACGGTCTTTCTCTTATAATTTTTTTATGTAAACTTCAACTTACTTTGTCCCAACCAAGGGTTTGTGTTCGTAAAACCATGATGCCACAGACTCGTCTTCTTCTGAATCAAGTTCAATTTGTATAGCTTCTAATGGTTCAACGTCCAGAACATTATCTGCATAATCTAAAGGAGGTTCTTCATCATCAAAAGGTGGGAATCTCATTCTTTTAAAATGTCTACGATCTCTTTTTTCTCGTCTCATCATAATCCACATAGTGCTGAAAAAAATTGAAACCTTTTTAATACAAATACCTTATATAGTATTAAGGATAATGACAAAAATGTTCATGTCTTACCCCCATTGAGCTATGTATACAGGTTCTATAACCCAAGGAATTTCATTGACAAAAGTAATGGCTCCAGTAATATGATATAAGACCTTTACATCCCTTATTTGTTCCCATGGCATAGGCATATTTTCCAACAGTTTCATAACGGCATGTGGCATGTATTTTAATGCTCTGTAATACAAATGTTAATAACAGAAATGTTTATAGAAAGTCTGATTACATACAGCTAGAGTTCTATATTATAAGTGCAAATGGATTTCGCTTGTTGATTGGCTGATAGCGACTACAAATCAAAATTGAGAATATTAGGCCTGCAGCTGATTCTTTGTACTGATTCTTTGTGCAAACTTTGTACAAATCTTGCAACTTTGATAATCTCCTTTTTAGCGTTGTTTGTAATGTTAGAATTAGAATAAGAATGTTTCTGATTGATCAAATTTCATTAGAAACAAAACTTTTTGACATCTTTCTCCAGGAGAACCTTCAAACTAAACTTCAGAATCTGACAGGATCTCTAATAGGTATAGCTTTGTTACAATTGGGCTGCAGGCCCAATATTCTCAGTTTTGATTGGCGACCATTCATCAACCAGCAAGAAAATACTATTTGTGCTTCTCTTATAATATAGGATTCTACATACAGCTTTCTATAATATATCTTACCCCAAATAAACACGCTTATCATGACGATATTTTCTACTGCTCATATCACCATGATCTCTAATGATCTTTCTTATATGCTCAGCCGGCATATCTTCTTTCTGAGCATCTACAAAGCCAAACTTTCTCTTCTCCGCAAATCGTTTTGATTGTAATTGCTGCCATTTTTGTGCTAGAGCAAGATTACCATTACAAAAAAATACAATATAAAAAAAACAGTTGGTAATAAACATTACCTTTTTCCTGAAGTTTATCCTCAGATAAAACTTCTGGTTGTTTAGGCATCTGAGGTAATGGTGGTCCAGCTATAGCCTGCATGTGAGCATGATGAGCAGCTTGAGCATGAGCTGCAGCAGCCTGGGCATGTACTTGGGCTGCTATCTGGGCTTGTTGTTGGGCCATCATCGTGGCCCATGGATTTGGGTTCAACAAATACGGTGGAATAGACATGATTGCGAGTGTTTCTGAAATAAAACACAAGAAAACAGGATAACATTGTCGATCAATTTTCCCTGATATAAATTGACATTTTCTGTATATAAACACGGTAAAATATTTCAAATTAAATTCTCAATTCTAAAGTACAGCGCTATGTATCATAAATCAATTATTTCAAGTAGAATTTCTATTTCCGAAACTTGAAACATGTCTGATCGCGTGGAAGTATACATACATGCATATAAACAGTAGTACTGGCAGATATATTAGAATAATAAACAAATTACACTTACAGTTTTTCACAATGTTAGTTTATCAATTCCTGCATGACGACAAATCATATAAAATCATCACGCAATTGATCACTTTATATCAAGGATCGGCTCCTTTTTTCGCAAGAAATGGCTTCGATTTCTTATGACTGTGTTCAAAATATAAAAGAGAGAGTAAACTCATCGTGGAAGCACAGTATGAGCACAGTATGTATGTACATACAGTATAGACACTGACTGTCGGCACCTTTGATACAGTGGATTCTAGGGTGCAGTCGAGTTGCCGCTATGAATGCTTCAAGTATTTTTTGATTGATCAATTAGTAAAATTCTTTCTTCCGATTGATTAATCAAATGTTTCAAATCATTCGTAGTGGCAACTACGTCATCCTAGATCACATGATTCGCCGCCATGTTGTAGGTTGGAAAGGCGCTTATAAATTTGAGTTTTTATAAAGCTATAGAATGATTTTTCTATAAAAAAAAGACATAATTCAGTTTGAAGATTGAAGAAAAATTGAAGTTTGATCAAAATAAAAAGGAACCAAAACTTCTTTATTCTTATTAATGAAATTTCAGTCTTTAATTTTTAATCTCAATCTTTAATGCATAGTCTGATTTTGGCCTAAAGGATGAAATAATACACGATACGGAAATCAGCATGCGGGATAGAGGATGCGTGATTCGAATAGCCAATCATGGGAAAGACAGGATAGAAAAATGCGGAAGAGCGTTGATTGACTGTACAAACTTCAATCTTTCAATCTTCAATCTCATTCTTCAATGCGTAGTCTGATTCTGATCTAAGGCTGTGTTCCAAATTTACTGCCAGCATTGAAAATGTTACAGTTTACGTTGGACTATAAGTTCGCTGCGTTCAGCGAACTTAACAGTTGAGTTCGCTGAACGCAGCCATAGATTTTTAATGCAGTCAATTTTGGAACACAGTCTTAATCGTCCGTTGACTGACTAATCGCGTTTACTGTTAGAATTGACCAATTGCGGTTAACAATTAATCACAATTAAGCTTGATTGGTGAAATCAGACTTAAGTATTTCTATGTAAAGAAGAATTTACATTTTCTAATGGAAAAATGTATTTTCTAAGAATTTTAGTAAGTGATATTTAAACATCAGGCGAGCAAATTTACTAGATGTTGTTCTATGAAATAATCAGTATTCTAGTAAATTCGCTTACTTTTGTAATTTTTACCTCGTTTCAAGATACAGAATCGATTCCTAGAATTGATTCCCACGGAATACTAATAGAATAGAATACTAATAGAATAGAATACTAATAGAATACTAATAATTTCATTGGTCAACATCTAATAAATTTGCTCATTTTTGTAATTTTTATTTTGTTTGAAGATATATGGCTTCTGCACACTGGACGTGGAAACGCTTGTCGCACGGCAAAATGTGATGTGGTAGCCAATAAGCAGCTTCTAATGTGTTCATGTCTAATGTGGTGTCGTGTCTCATTTTGCTGCCAATAGAATCGACCATCAGCTTACCCCTTTCTATTAATTAATTTACCATCTTGTATGTGAGTGATATTCGATTGTCCATGTTGCTAATTGGCCAATTCGTAATTTGATCTCCTGATTGGTTGATTCAGTAGAAAAATTTTAAGCCTCAGTCGCTCTGAATGGTGTGATCAATCGCTACGTGGTCAAATCAAATGCTTCTATACTACTTATAGATCTCATTTGTAGTTCTTCAAATGCTCCACGTGAGAACTTATGACCTCCAAAAATATTTCGAAAAGCTCGAGATTTTATTCGAAGAATTGCAAGATTAAACGTGATAATTTTCAGACGCCATATGTAGAATTTTAATAAGTCTGTAACAGGATAGTCAAAAGAACTTTTTACGTATTTCTTTGATATAAAAAGAAATTGAATAAAAAGGGAGAAAGGAAGGACAAAGAAAGAAAATAATGAAAAAGGACGGATATTTATATTGAAGATGGAGAAGTGAAGGAGAAATCCCCTCTCCCTTCCCTGAGTTGCTCGTTGCGCTTCATTGCGCTCATGTGATATTTACGTCGTATGGTGATACGTTTCTGACATATTTATTATACGTGTAACGTATATATGTCCAGAGATATTGTATGTATATATGTATATATACACACACGCATGTATACATACGTACATATGCGTGAGTGGTCACGTCATAAGTGATTTGACAGTAATTAATCGTGATAAACGGTGCAAAGGTTGGGAAACCTTACAAGACTTGTATTAAAATTGTTTAATACTCCCTTTCACTCCTCACGATGATATAGGAAAAAAAAATCATCGTACTGTGATCTCCTGAATGTACATATATCGTAAATAAGATCTTAAAATTGAAAAGGTAATTCATTTACGCGAAATAATTTTATTGCTTTATATAACTACTAAAGGAAATCAATCATGAAAGATAATTAAAGAGGATTGGAATTATAAAATATATTCTATATATTCTCGTATGAAATTTATGAGATATTCTTTCTCGATTACAATATGTTGAAATTCGGAACATTACATAGTTTATCGAGCTCTTATCATGAGTCTACAATTTTCGGGATAATTGTCACGATAATTAGATTCTTTAATGTACAATAGCAATAAGCAATATGGTATAATTGAGCGTGATAATTGCAAGTATGAAGTGCAATATAATATTGACTAATATAAAATGTATAATAAAACAATGAATGATTAGCCAATTAATTTATCATTTAAAATTTGTTGATATCTCAATATCATCCTTTATCCTATTTGTATTAAACATTCTATGACATATACTTGCATATTGTAAGAATAATAGAAAAGAATTTAAGCTTTTTTTATTTTAATGCTTTAACTTCTCGTAATTTAAAATAAATTTCATTTATATGTATTGAATTTACATAAACTTACAGATATAATACTTAGGAGAATTATTTGCATTCTAGTTTAGATTCTCTAATTTTTGTTTTGTATGAACATTAATGAAATTTGACATTCACAATTTTTATCTTGCAGAGTAAGTATTAACTATAGGAATATGTAGTAAGTATTTAAATGATGTTACAATTTGTCATATAGAATGTAAAACAGTAATTGCATGATGTTATAAGATTTTATTTATATGATTTTTTTAAGTTTTTCTTCTTTTAATTGTATTTATTAGTAATAATGATAAATTTTCTTGTCCATTATATCCAAAAGGAACAGTAATTCTAGAAAGCAATTTATGTTTACATTGGGTAATTATTTGACCTTTGATCTATAATAACTCATCTGCTATATTTTATTGATAGTGTCAAGTTCTCTTATAATTTTTTTCATTTTATATATATATATATACTCTCTACATTTATTACAATAATATTAGAATTCATATTATTGTACTTGCATTGAATAACCTCTTAAAGTTATATAATGGACAAGATTTGTGAATTTAAACAATGCAATTCTACATATACAATTATAATAATTGAAGCTGATACTAACATAACTGGAGTAAATTATAAAATGTTTTCATAAAGAATAAAAGAACTTTATTTTCTATTATATTATTTCATTTATGTGATTATATAGGAACTTGTTAAATAATAAATATTGATTTATGTTGTAAGAAAGAATTTATGAGATGCATATAATTTTTTAAATTACGTACAAAAATATTAATGTTTGAAAGATACATAAGCTTATCATTACATAAGTTGTTATTAATACGCATGTGTCCGCATTACATTCTTTGTTAATAATACATTACATTTTTTGTTTACAGATTAACCATTTAGAAAATACCATGCTGGGTAATTCTACTGCCATTCAACGTCCAAAAGATCAAGCTTCCACTAATGGAGCTCAAAGAAGTATTGGAAAAAGAATATCCACTCCAGCAATGGAACATAATTCAAGCCATCCACATAGTGTTTCAAATTTGGATGCAGATCATTTAACACTTTGGCAACATCCAATTACAACTTTACATTACTTCTTTAGTGAAGCAATTATTAATATGCTTAGTTTAATGAAGAAAACATTGCTCTACAAACGGACTGTATGCGCTATGATTTCAATTATAATATTATTTCTTCTATCAAGTAGAATTTCTGGTCCCCAACAAGAGGTACTCTAAATTACTTTTAGATAATTCTAGATATATGTTAACAGAATTCTTATTTTTGTCTATATTTCTATAATATTTTCCTGATTATTTTTCATTTAATTAGTCGACTTTTAAAAATGTCCAAAACTTTAAATTGTTAAAAGAGAAAGACTACGAGTCAAAACTAATTGTTAATTGCTAATAATTAATTTATATTTCAAATCCTAACATTTAACATAAACGTTTCCACCTTCATCTTCAGTGTAATTTATAAAAATTACAATTGAAAAATAAAATAAAAATAAAAAGGTTGCAATATCGGTTATATAATAGTTCCATGATTAAATTTAAAAATTGAGTAAAAATTATGATTGTGCAGATCATAAAACGTTTTAATAATGCGACAAGTCTTATTCTATTTTTGTTTATATTTAAACAGTTTTTAATATTTAATCATGCGACAATTTTTACTCAATTTTTATATTTAATCATGGAATTATTATATAACCGATATTGCGAGATCTTTTTATTTTTATTTTTATTTTTCAAACGTAATTTTTATGAGTTAGATGACTTAATGAAAGTGGACATGTTTGTATGTTAAATGTTTATAGCAATAAGATTTAGAATATGAAGGTTCAGTTCCACAACTCACAGTTAACTCTTACTGAGGTTCAATTTATTCATTGTCTCTTTCTAATTCTAAAATCGGAAAGAGATGAGAAACAAGTCGAACTTCAGTTAAGAGTTAACCGTGAGTTGTGGAACTGGCCCTAAGTATTAGCAATTAACAACTAGCTTTGATTTGTAGCTTTCTCTTTTAACACAATTTATTTTTTAAAAAAATCTTGAATCAAAATAATTTGATTATTTTTAAATCATGAATTAAAAGTAGAAGAGTCTTGAAAATTAAGTTTCAAAAAAAGATTGATAATATGTACAATTACGTTAATTAAAAATTAATTTTTTATTCGTTATTTGATTATTTAGATTAATGTAAAATAATGGATTCGTTTTCAGATTTTTAAATTGTGGGAAGCCAAAATTA